TGAAAACAGCACAGTGAGAGTGCTCTGAGGTAAGGCATAATATGAACAGGAGCTTGGCAAGCTCTCCCCATATACCTCTAGTGAAGCACTCAAATGCATTCGCTGCTACTCCGTTGCTTTATTTCTCTTGAGCCAAAATGAATGATTCTTCTGCATTGTTTCAGAGTGCACTGTGGAATGACCTAACTCTTTATACTTGCGCCTTGCGCCACAGCCTGTACCCAGGTTTCCGAAGTGGGAAGGAGGGCTTGTGTTAATCCAGTGTAATGTGCTTTAAGGTAGTGGTTGTTGCTAGCCGCCTTTGGTTTGAACATCAGCGATATTAGTGACCTGACTGGTATCACGCAGTAAGCTAGTCTTGTTGTATGCTGTGAACATTACTTATAACGCAATTCGTGGAAATAAGTGAACATCTTCCACAATAACACATTCCCATTGAGCCTTTGATTGCTTAATTGGTATGTTCCTTTTTTTCCCCATTGGGATATACCAGTTGGATTGTACTGTAATAAAGCTGTCCTCATTGCTGCTTACCTTATCTCTTACTGCAATGTGTTCTTACTGAACACATTAGTCCTAATTTTAAACTCTATGCCAATATATCCTAGATTTCTCATTTGGTAAGGTGCTTGGGATTTGTGTGATTCTCTTGTTCCGTAGAGCCTTAGGCAGAACTGTGTCTCTGGAATTAAACCTCTTGAATTGTTAGTTTTGGCTAAACTTAAAAAACAACAAATGGTCTGGTAGCACTTTATAGACTAACAAAATATGTAGGTGGTATCATGAGCGTTCTTGGGCACAGCCTATTTCTTAAGTGGGCTGTGCCCACGAAAGCTTATGATACCATCTACATGTTTTGTTAGTCCATAAAGTGCTACCAGACCATTTCTTGGCTGTTAGTTTTGGGTATGAGGTAAAGAAGAGCCACTTAAAACTTAGAAACGAAGTAGCTTTTACAAGATTCACAATACTTCTAGGATTTAATTCGTGGAAATTTCCTCTTGATTATTTGAGAAGCTGCAAAACAGATCTCTGAGGCTGTTAGAGCATTTGCCTGTGAAGGGAGCCAGTGTTGTTCTCCTACCAGATTAGAGCTACCTCAAAGCTTAGTCTTAATCTTGATCTGAGATGTGCAGGTGAAGCAAGCAATTTTTACAGCAGACACAGCATTGCACATGTCCATGTGCTTGAGAGCACAGGGACAACTTTTGTTTCAAGGAAACTAAACTTAGACTGTTAAAAGAACCAACAGTTTTTTGCTCAACTACAGGTAATAAACACATAGAGATATTTTTAAAAACAAAAGCTCACCATTGACAAATACAAACTGAAGTCATTGTGGGTAGGGCTAATGTGTATTAGAAAAGTTGCACTAGCAGTATTAAATTGATTTAAAATTAAATCAGTTCCACCAGTACAAACCTCCATAGATGTACTTAAACCACTTTAAGTCTTCCTTAAGATAAATCAGTGTAAATTGGTGAATGTAGTGAATTAAGCTAAATCCATTAAAGTGAGTTTTAAAGCAGTTTAAGTACTTGTATGCTAGGAGTATGCATTGGTGGTTTTTTACTATTAATTTATTCACACCAGTGCCACTTTTCTAAAGTAGACCAGTCAGAGGCCACTTTTGCAGGGAAACTGTATTGAAATATATAACCCATATGAGTTCTAGGTTGCTTTTATTTCAAATAGAAAGTCACAGAATTGATTTTAAAAAAATCTTCTAGAACCAGAGAGAGAGGAGATAAAATTCAAACGCTTCATTTGTTGTTGTGCCTTTCCTTCTGCAGGAACCTGAGGCTGAGGTTAGGCCTATGCTAGGGGTAAATTCAAATAAAGATACGCAACTCCTGCTATGTTAATTACATAGCTGGAGTTGATGTACCTTTAGTTTAAATTTTAGCGACATCCCCACCTCGAGAGGTTAGCAGGAGAAATACTCCCGTTGGCCTCCCTTACTCCTTGCGAGGAGTAGAAGTACGCACTGACGTGGGCATCCTCAGTGTTTGATCTAGTGGATCTTTATTAGACCTACTAGATAGAACGCCAGAAGGTCGATCTCCGCAGTGTCAATCCACATGACCTAAGTCTATACTGGCACTTTGCAGTGCTATAACTTTCGGGCCCATGGGTATGAAAAAACACTTGACACCCTTCTCTTCCCCCCTCCCTGAGCACAGCAAGTTACGGATCTGTACAGTGTCCGTATAAACCAGGCTACAGCACTGGGAGCCACTCTCCTTGTGGACTTCTCTTCCCAACACTGATGCTGTGGCCACACTTAAGAGTTTAAAGCGCTGCAGCAAATGCACTTTAAACATGTAAGTGCAGACAAAGTCTGAGTAAGTAGATGGGACTTGCACAGATATTGTCGGTTTTGGATTATGGGATGGAGGCAGGAGGAAATTTGAGAGCCTTTCATAGAGAATGTCCTGCTGGCAAGTCTTTCTTTACTGGAGGTGGTGTTACTCCAATTGGAGTGCCTCTGCTGACCACAGTGTGTCAGTATTGAATGTGAAGAGAGGGTTTATCCAGCAAGCAGGACTCAAGCCTTATAGGGCTGTCATAGATCAAACCCAAAACCTTAAACTAAACCTGCAGCTCAGATTTATTGCTTAAAGGAGCTATCTGGGATGAGGGGGAGGGTTAGGAGACATACTGCCAAAGGCTTTATAAATGTATTTGGAATAACATGTTGGGTTTTCATTCTCAAGCATTCAGTCTTTTTTACTAATCCCATTTCTCATCCGTCAAGAAGCTCTTTCTGTTGTCCCCTGACCTGGGCTATGTCTAGACTGCAGGTTTCCTTTGGAAGAACCTTTTTTCAGAAGAGATCTTCTGAAAAAACTTCTTCTGAAAGAGCATCCACACACACAAGCACATCGGAAAAGCGATCTGCTTTTTTGAAAGATAGCATCCACACTGAATGGATGCTATCTCGCATTTAAGCTGTGATTACTATGGACGGAGTGGCCACCAGGGCACTTGTGCTTTTTCCTCTTTCCTCTTCTTTCGAAAGAACTCCTTCTTCCCCGTCCACACACGCCTTTTCCTGAAAGAGCTCTTTTGGAAAAAGGCTTCTTTCTCGTAGAAAGAAGGTTACCAATGCTGGAAAAACCCCTCTGTTCTTTCGATTTACTTTCAGAAGAACGTGATTGCCGTGTGCACATAACTCAGGTTTTGTTGGAAAAACAGCTGTCTTTCCGACAAAACTCTGTAGTGTAGACATGCCCCTACTGAGTTCCTCCCCTGATAAAACATCTCTGTAATGCCGTGTTCTCTGTTTCTGATCCTTCGGCCCCAGGCACAAACACTTGGAACATGAGAAGAAAAGAAGTTGAAAATTTAATATTAGAAATCCTTTGGTAGCAAACAAATTAAAAATGTTTATGAAGCACAGAATGCTTCCAGTCCTACCGTGGAAGAGGAGGACATGTATGGTGAAGGGAAAGCTGTGCTACTACAAACTGTACTTTTAAGTAATTTCAGCATAATTTCAAGGACCTTCTTAGTAGAGAGGTTTTAGTGTGTTCTGATAGAGAAGTTTGTTCTGAGTACTTTGTTCAGAAAGTGAAGACAAAAGTTTAGTGGGAAGAATGACAATAAATAGTAGCGGGGTCGGAAGGTCACCGACTCAGAAGATACATTCAGAGATATGTTCAGGCGGGCAAGCTGTTTTAGCAGCAATACGTGATGCTATTAGACAGCCACCTGTTCAACAAGACACCTAGTTACTCCTGATACCTGGCCAGTGTTGGATTGGGTGTAATGGAAAGCTTACATCAGAACGGCCATACCGGGTCAGACCAAAGGTCCATCTAGCCCAGTAGCCTGTCTGCCGACAGTGGCTAGTGCTAGGTGCCCCAGAGGGGGTGGACTGAAGACAATGATCAAGCAATTTGTCTCCTTCCATCCTTCTCCAGCCTTTGACAAACAGAGGCCAGGGACACCATTTTATCCCCTGGCGAATAGCCTTTTATGGACCTAACCTCCATGAATGTATCTAGCTTGGGGGGGGGAATGCACACATGCGCTCTGAAAGCAGAAACATCAGCAAAAACGATTGTGAAAATGCCCCTGCGATAGCTGGTATTTGGAACTTTGTTAATGATGCTCCTGGAGGTAGCTCTGTAATTTATTTCTTGAAAGGCCGATGTGATGGGAGCATTAATAACTGAAGAATGTGGGGAGGCTTAGGAGTGGATAGAGAAGCAATGTTGGCCACAGAACAACAACTGGGGTCCCGTGGTGGTACAGGCTGCTTTACTTTTCAAGATTGCCATTCTCTTCCCCATCACATCCGTGTCCTAATAGATGTGCATGGTGATTGCGTAACTTCTATAAAAAGGTCTGTGACTTACAACCTAAAGGCTTTAGCATCTTGGTAAGCCTGCATCACAGGTAAGTTTGCATCCCTATTTTGCAGGTGAGGAAACTGATCCTGTCATTGCTTGGTGGGCAGACCCCATTGAAGTCAGTGGGGTCCCAATGAAGGCATATGACTCCAGCTGCTTGGAGCTTATTGCAGGATTGGGGCCAGAGACACAAAATTGTTCTGCGATTTCACAAAAGAAGCAGGTGGTAGAAAGGGGAACAGAACCTGGGCACCTGACCTTCCTCAATAAATTAGGAAAAAAACACTCTGGCTAAAAGTTAAACTCATGGGAGTGAGCAGCAGAGCCCTGAAATTAACTCTCTTGAAATATGCCAGGGTGGAGTGGAGAGGTGATGCAAGACACATTCTAAGGTAGGCTGTCTGGCAGGATATCTGTTACTTTTGGACAGGGTCGTGGTGTGGGGAGACTTCTTGTGCCCATCCCACAGCAATTGTTTGGTGCCTCATTCAGGTGAAGATGACCATGAAACATCTAAAAAAGTAGCATAGGCTGAAAAGCCAGGTTTAAGTTCAACATGCCCATTCCTTAAAAATGGCTGAGTCGCTACCTGAAAGGGCGCTGTTTTAACAGATTGTTTTTCCTGTGTTTGTTCCGTTCCAGAGCCTAGCCCAGCTAGAGAACCTGTGCAAGCAGCTATATGAAACTACAGACACCACGACACGGCTGCAGGCAGAAAAAGCCTTGGTCGAGTTCACCAACAGCCCGGACTGCTTGAGCAAGTGCCAGCTCCTCCTTGAAAGAGGAAGTGTATGTAGAAAAAAATAATTGTCAGATCGAGACCGCTGGCATTCGAACTGGGCATTTTGGGTCAACGCACTGAATGAAACAGGGACGCACCGGGGCACTATAGGCACTGCATGCCCAGTAAACTAGAACATACTATTTACAAACCAGAATTAATCAGTTATACGACTGCATTTCTTCACTTAGTTTAGAATCATGGTGTCCAATGCACTAGCCACATGTGGCTATTTGGCCAGTTGAGTGTGGCTAGTTGGCTGACACAATTATTTACATTTTCAGAATAATGTGGCTAGTTCACTATAGAAGTTGCCACTATCGTGGCTACTGCTTCAGAATTGGTTGGACACCCCGGGTTTAGAAAAAATGGGAATGTATCCGCTAAGGCAGTGATCACCAACCAATAGATCAGGATCTACTGGTCAGTCTTGGAGCCTTTGACAGGTGATAGCCTCATGGCCAAACCAGTCAGTATCAAGTGCTGGCTCTTCAGCTGCCCATCTCCTGCACTTTGCCTTGGAGCTGTTCCTTCCCCTGCAAGCCTCCTGCTTGCCCGGCCCTGCACAGAAGGCAGAGGAAGGGTGCTGATGTCAGGGTGCCTACTCTCCCACTTTATATCCTATCTCCACAGAGCAGAGATTGCTGGCTGCTTTTGGGAGCGGTACAGGGCCAGGGCAGGAGTGAGCCTGCCTTAGCCCTACTGCACCACCACCCAGGAGCCACCTAAACAGGGCCCAGCTGGAGCCCACATCCTGAAACCCTACCCCAGTCATAAACCCCCTCCTACATCCCATGCCCCTGCCCTAGAGCCAAGCACCCCTGCATCTAAATGCTCTCCCAGAGCCTGCTCCTAGAACCCCCTCTGACACGTCAACTGCTTGCAGCTCAGAACCCCTCTCACACTCCCAATCCCTTAATCCAAGGCCAGAGCCTGCATCCCAACCCTCTGCCCCAACCTAGTGGAAGGAAGGGTGGAGTGAGCAGGGGCGGGGTCTCGGAGAAAGGGCACAAAGGACGCAGAGCAAGGGTATTTGGGTTTCAGGTAGATCTTGGATTGCACTTACATTCAAAAAGTGATCTCAAGCATAGAAAGGTTGGAGACCCCTGCTAAGGTTTCCCTTTTGAGGAATTCTCTTTGATCCTAAAGCCCTATCTAAACTACAAAAATAAATATGCTTAAACACAGTTAAGAAGTGTGGTCCAGATGTGAGCTAGCATAGTTGTAGTCTTGGGGAGAGTTGTGGGGGAGATGAGGCATGGGCGGAGTTATTGAGAGTGGGAACACAAAGTGTAGCTCTAGCGCCATGCTAGAAAATAGTGCGAATTTGGGCTAACGTGTTCCTTCCAGCAGAGGAGATACTATTGCACAATCGTTCCAGTTTTGTTCATGCATCTATATACACCAATAGTGTCAATCATATGAAAAGAAACTGTCTTTTGATAAGTTGGTTCTTGATTAATCTTATGGGCCAGTCCATTATGCAGCCTGATCTAAGAATACAGTGTTAATTCTGAAAGACAAGTTCTCTTGTTTCCATTGCTTTCGGAGTTCAGCTTGGAAGGAATGATGAACAGTTAAAATCCCTGCATGAGATCTGAGACTCAGGTGGGGAGGGGAGATTAAAACAGCAGAGTCTGCTTTGGGCTATTTTGGCTTACTACTAAGAATCTCTTTAAAGCAAAAGCTAGCCTCTCCAATGGTGTCCTCAAAGCAATCTAGCAACAATTTCAAGCATAGGAAACAAGAACATGAACTTCAGAATTAATCTTATGTTAGGATTTATTGTCAATGTGTTTTTCATCCCCATCTAAATTTTATTTTCACAATACCTTCTTTTTCCTTGTATGTGATCGCTTCATTCACTTTGTGGCAGGATAAATCATGCTTAAAATTGCTTGGTCACAGAGCCTTTTGAGGTTTGACTTCTGGCCCAATGTGCATCCAGCCCTTTGAGTCTATTAGATCAATTCACAAAAATCAGGAACCATTAGCCATCCTGTCTCAAAGGATCCTGAAAGAGATGGGGGATGGTGCAGCGTAGTCCCGGTAAACATACACAAGCTGAATTTTTCTCTCTCTTTACATTGTGAGGTTTTTGGGTGGAGGCTTTTTAATGTCTTTGGAATTGAAAATAAATTAACCTTTGGGTTTCAAATTGCACTTCTCTCTTCCATGGAGGAACCAGCGACTAGCACAAGGAAAGAAGAAGGGATCAGTTTTAATGGAAAATCTGTGATGCCCAGTTTTTATTACTTTGATTATAACCCATTATGTATCTGTAATCTGTGGCAATTTGCTATTTTGTAAAGCTGATGCACAAATTGGATGATCTGACTCACATTAAACTCTCTTTGGGCATATTACTGTAAATGTGTTTCTGGTCTCTTCCATTCTTGGAATAGGTTATAGAGGCAAAACCTTTGTGTAGTACAGGGTATTATTTAACACAAGAAATGCTTGCAGTTTGTAGACTCTCATACAGCCTAGGATTTCTGATGGTTCACTCACATTATCTGTATCCTATTCCCTGGATTAAGTTAGTTAGTAATGTCCATTGGTCCAAGTGCTGTTCTGTATTATACAACATTAGAGACAAGTGTTTGTTTAAAATCTAGGATTGAGCATGTATTAACACTTTCCCATGGCTCAGAGAGAAATTATGAAAAGGAAAACTCTGCTTTCAAGCTAATGTGATGCTAGTTAACATGCCCAGTCCCCAGAACTGGGGTGAACTGGCTGCTGTGCTAATGGAGAAATCATTGATGCTGTGAATCTGAATTTGCATCTTTATAACTAAGCTTCCTCCCTTCCCAAATGTGACCTCTTAGGACAAATAGTCTTTGTGTGAGTACTGTCCTGCCCCATCACTCTGTGATCCCATCACAATAGCCCACTTGCTTTCCTTTGACTTAGAGCCATAGTACCATATTGTTGGCACTTGTTCCTTCGAGCTTGTCATAACCCTCTCCACCCCTGCGTGGGAGTGTGTAGGTGTTACGCTGCTGCAGCTATCACCCTGTTATGTTTTTCCTTCTATATTCTCTCTCTTTAAAATATTGTAGATAAACTTGGTGTATACGGAAGCAAGGAGCTAAGATAGTCCAGAGCATTTCGACTTGTGAACTAAGCTAATAATAAAACCCAAGTTTCCAGAGCTGAAAACTATTGAGTAAATGTAGCACAGCCATCCTATCTTCTACTTAGGCCTCTTTTGTAGTAAAACTTGCATTAAACGACTGCTTGTTGTGTTTTTTCTTTACAGTCATCCTACTCCCAATTACTGGCAGCTACATGCCTTACAAAACTTGTGTCACGCACAAACAACCCTCTGCCATTGGAACAGCGAATAGATATTCGTAAGTAGAAGCTTTTCTTTTCTGTGGCCAAGCCACTAGCATAGCAGGCAAATAGTGTGGATAGCGACTAATTCATAGTACTGCAATGTGACAGGAAGTCTTTCTAGGAGCTACTAGGATTTTTGAACATATTGTCCTAAAATGTAGAGTGAAAAGACAGCTTTGCTGTCAAACAAGGTCTTTTCTTAGCCCAGAGTCTACTGGATTTGATTGCCAGATTGGACCTGGATAATATCTGTCTAAGTAATCACAAATTTGTGGCCTTATGGATGAACAAGTTTTAAGATAATTCAGTTCTTCATGAAACAAAACACAGGACTATGTAGCACTTTAAAGCCTACAAGATGGTTTATTAGGTGATGAGCTTTCGTGGGCCAGACCCACTTCCTCAGATCAAATCGTGGAAGAAAATTGTCACTTCTTCCACTATTTGATCTGTGGAAGTGGGTCTGGTCCACGAAAGCTCATCACTTAATAAACCATCTTGTTAGTCTTTAAAGTGCTACATAGTCCTGTTTTTTGTTTCAGCTACACCAGACTAACACGGCTACATTTCTATCTCCGTTCTTCATGAATTTCACTGTTGATCTCCTAGTTCTTTTGTCTCCACTACTTGTTACTTGATTGAATCCAATTATTAGAAAGATGTCTATTTTGTATTTGCCCGTCTTTGTTCTCCTGTGCTGGTTTTCTTTGTGTGCATGTGTAGTAGGGTACTTTCTGTTCATTATCTCCCAGGACAAGTATTGAAGACAGATACCAGCTAAAGTTTAGTTTTTGCCTGTGACCCAGAGTGGGGATAACTTCCATGTTTGATTGTGAAATTGCCTTGAACTGAGTTTCACAGCTCTGCTACTGTCAAAGGGACAAAAGAGCTCAGCCACAACTCTAGTCTTGGCCAGCTCTAAAGAGTGGGCCAAGGTGGAAAGCTATTTGGAAAATCCAGGATTCTAGTCATTCAGGACTGAAATTAAACCCCAATTATGACGGCAGATTTCTGAATGTTCTGTTTTAGGAATAGTGATTTGCATGAGCAAATAAGAGCAGATCTGGTTGCACTGATGCATTCCTTTTAGGAAAGGAGAATGAATAGGATACATGGGCAGTCTCTTTCAAGAATATAGATTCATAAACTTTAAGATCAGAAGGGACTACCCTCCTGCACATTGCAGGTCACAGAACCTCACCCACCCATTCCTGAAACAGACCTATCACCTCTGGCCGAGCTACTGAAATCCTCAGATCATGATTTCAAGACTTCAAGTTAGAATTCACCATTTACATTAGCATAAACCTGTCAATCACTCTCGCCCCATGCTGAAAAACAAGGCAAAAAGTGCAAAACCTCTCTACCAATCTGACCTATGGGAAAATTCCTTCCCAACCCCAAATATGACAGTTGGACCCCGAGCATATGCTCAAGACCCACCAGGCAGAGAAGAACAGATTAAGTTTGAGTTGAGAATGCTTTGTGGCAGTGGTCCCCAACCTTTCGGGGCTGCCCAGCGCCCGGGGGTGGGACCAGCCCAGATCATTCCGCGGGTGCACATAAATGCCCCGGCAGGCGCCATGGTGCCCACGGGCACCACGTTGGGGACCACTGCTACACATCTAGGAATCATGGGATGGAGCAGAAGTGTCTCTGATTAGTGTCTCTTGTTGCGGGAGTAACTGTGGTATCTGCTTTGTGTGGTTCTGACCCAAAAGAACCTCTTCGTACCAGCAGGCAAAGGATTCACTGTTCAGTAATAGCAACTCTCACCAGCCTGACAAACTCTCTGCTCCAAACATGCTGCTTTCATGGTGTTTGCCCAAAAAGGGGATGGGAGGTGTTAAATGGAAGCTTACATCAGATAGGTCCTTATTATAGTTGTGTGATGTATGGACGGATGGTATTTGAGAAGTTGTATGTATGTACTAAAAATGTTGTAGAATGTGTGTCCTGGGCAGGCTTGTTGGAATTCTAAAGTGGACTCACCTATCTCCTTTGTGCTGGGCTTTACAATGTTTGACACATAAATAAAAGGAGGTCCTGTTTACATGTGAGAATCAAAAGGAAATACAGGCGGAAAGGGGATGAAAAATAAACTTGTGTGGGGAGACCTCTTGGAGCCAGCACACCAGGAAAGAAACCACGGGTAATCTTTCTAACTCAGGGAGTTGTTAACCTGCAAACCTGAGTGAAGGCTGGCAGAGCCCTGGGATTGAGAGGCTGAAGGTGTGACAACCAGCTATTGTTGCCCCCCAGATTGTCACACTGGATGCTGGAGGGGGATAGCAAAATGACTTGCTGTCTGAGGTCCCTGAGACAGCGTGTCAGTGCTCCTTTAACCAGCCGGAGTTAGCCAGCTTCTCCTTTCTCACTGGACAATGGAATGCTCTGATGTCTGAGGAACGGTTCTGAAACCTTTCAGCAGTTCTCACCAGACGTGTGTTCTCACACAGCACTGAACTCTTAATACAAAAATAACACACTTGTGTGTATGGGGAAAAAATTGTTCTATCCACAGTTTCATATAGCTAGAGCCTCCAAATTCTTGGCATATTGTTGTATGACTACTCTGTCAAAAATATATGTCCGTTACAGCTGTCTGGATACTATACTTGCACTTCCATACTTTCCAACATGGTGATGGGTTCCTGTGTTTTGGTGTAGCTTCTTAAAGATATTTTCCTTAATGTAAATTCACAAGCTTATGTCCAACTTAATGGTCTCTTTCTCTAGGAATTTCCTTATTTTTATTTTTTGTCTTGCAGGGAACTACGTGCTTAACTACCTTGCCACCAGGCCAAAGTTGGCAACTTTTGTAACGCAAGCACTAATTCAGTTATATGCCAGGATCACAAAGTTGGGCTGGTTTGACTGTCAGAAGGATGAATATGTCTTCAGAAATGTGATCACAGATGTCACAAGGTTTTTACAGGTCAGGGGCATTTTTGAAAAACAAGGTGGGGGGAGAGCCAAAAGCCTGGTGTGATTGGAGTATTTTTGTTATGCTTGAGTTTCCATAAAATGCCCTGAGAACCAGGGCAAGTGTACAGCTAGTCTTCCATTTCCACTGCATTAGCTGTTGCTACTCAAGAGTTCTGGTATTTATGGCCTGTCAAAGATGATAAATCTAGAAATTGACCTGTCTTGACAACTGTCCCATGTGTGATTATAAGTTCAGGGTAGGGGACTGTCATTTTGATTTCTGTTCAGTGCCTGGCACTCCTGGTGTGCTATAAGTATTTAATACTGTGGCAGAACTTGGTATGTAATTCCTCTTTAAACCCCGAATCCAAATGATCCATCCAAAATGAAAAACACGATGGGTTCCCATTCAAGTGAGGGCATATCATCTCACTTGCAGCTGTGTTACTGCGCTTGACAGATTGGTTGGTTTCTTGAAGTACCGTTCTTTTAGTACTAACCCAGGATCATCAGGGCCTTCAATTTGGGTGAGTGTTTTTTTTAGGTCATGAATTTTGGCTATACCAACCTCAGTCCTTTAAGCCGCTGTGCTGATGGGTGGGTGAGTCTTTTCATGCTCTGCCTGGGATTCCCTGGACAGCCATCAGAGTAGTACTACTAAGAAAAGAGGCGAAGTTTCCAGGAACCTCTCATTGCTCTGCCTGGCCAAGATAGCTTCAGTGAAGAGGACTGGCTACAACTCTTTGGCTGCAGAGTGCAAGATATGAGTTGGCGGTGTGACAAAGGAAGGTTTTAAGAGTATGTGTGTGACGTGTGAGGGAGGAAGGGGGTTGGTTATAGAAGATCTTCACGAATTTTATCTGGGACATTAACTAGACATATCTGTAGAAACAACCCTTCTCATAAACATGGTTATTAGCAAATATTTACACTGAGATCTCAGGGTGCTGTTAGAATTACAGTTGGACCCATTGGGTGGACATAAGACCTTGTCATAAGACAGACCCGGCCCACGTGAGTTTAGCTTTACAGGCAGAAGAGTGAACTTTTTCAGCAGTTGGTCCCAATCTGAGACTCTCTTCCTGGGAAGGTTAGCAAGGAATAAAATCACACTGGCTTTTTTTCCAATATAACTTTTTGACAGTAAAACATCCACAAGTTAGAGGAAGATGGCAGAGTAGTAGTAAATAACCCCAGAGTCCCTAGCTGCAGTGATCGAAAAGGAAAGGAACTTGAATGGTACTTTTATATGGGGGTGGTGAGAGTGTTTGATTTTGGATAGGTATTTGAATGGTGTGACAAGAACGGGATCTCAGCACTTACAAACTGTTCCTGAAAAGTAAAATTGAAGAAATGCTATCCAGAAAATATTACAGTACTGAAGGATTGCAACTTTCCCAAAACTCTCTGCTCACATGGTTTCTGGGGTTTTGAGACAATCCTGTTGATTTTCACTCAGTAGGGATGTGAACGACTAGTCACTCCCTCCACCTCTATCAGAAAGAGGCAACGAGGGGCAGGAGGGGGACAAGAGGGAGTGCTTCAAAGCGGCAGCGCCGCGTGGAGCCTGGGGCCAGACCCTGGTCTCCATGCTGCACTGCCCCTTTGAAACACCGCGTGCAGCCCGGGGCCAGCTGTGGAGCCCGGCATCAGGCTCCACACGGTGTTTCAAAGCAGCAGTGCTGCCAGGCTCCATGCAACGCTGCCGCTTTGAAACGCCGCAGGAAACACGGGGCCAACGGGGACTGTTTGAGTCCCCTCCTGGCTCCGTGCTCCCCGTAGCGCTTTCATCTTTAAAGTGTAGCAACAGCCCTGGGGCTATTGCTGCACTTCAAAGGGGGAGGTGCCCTTATTGACTAATTGAATAGTCAATGCAATTTGCATCGATTATTCAATTAGCCTATTGATCTAAATTTAACATCCTTATCACTCAGTCCTCAACTCTCTCCCCCAAAGTGTGGTGAAATGAAGGCTGTATTTGGTTCAGGGTCATGGGTTCAGTGCAGATTCCTGGCTACTGCTGCATAGTATCATGTTGATGCTTGAGACAAAGGCCTGTGATCACAGCCTTTTCCCCACCAAGACTGCAGCATGCTTGACTCCTGCCACAGGAGTGAACTTACCTTTGCAATCATGCACTTACCTTTGCCATTGATTCCATCAATGTAATTCCGTCTTTGAAGAATCAGCAGTAAATAGGCACCAAAAATGTGATTGAGAGTAGATAGATAAGCTATTCAATAACAGCTATATGTTGTTGTTTGAGCGCTCCATAGGCATTGTTAGCTGCTGAGAGCCTGACACATATATCAAATTGTACATGATATGAATAGTTTTTAAAAAATGCATCTAAATATAGAACTCCTGGGTATTTTTAAAAAGTTGTGCTTGAATATTTTCCAGTCACTGTGCTCTGAAGACATAGCACATCTAGCCAGACATATGATCTAGTACGTCCTTCTACATGGCAGAAGGATTTCAGAGTTATAATGAAATCTGGTGAGACCAGGTTAATGCTAATTCTTCCTCCTCCTCCTCCTCCTCCTTTTCCCTTTCATTCTCTCATCAGGATAGCGTAGAACACTGCATCATAGGAGTGACAATCCTGTCTCAGCTAACGAATGAAATTAATCAAGTAAGTGCTACAGCCTTCTTCAGTGAAGTAAGTGTCCAATTTTCTCATTTGTATTGTTCTTCTGTGTGTGTGTGTGTTGTGTGCCGATTTTAATTTTTTTATGCAATCCTATGCTTTTGCGGTAAGATATTATATTTCCTCTGATCTAAGGATTTCTTTGCCATCTCCTGTTCTTTTAGCATCTCTCATCTTCTCCAGTGCCTGGACGTAATGCTCCATAATAAAAATGAAGCAGCAGTAAAATAGCAAATGGGTTTGTGCCCAGTACTATCTCCTGTCTGTGAGGATAAAGCCCCACCGCATGAATTAGCAAAGCATCATTAGCATCTTTTGTCCTCCATTCCTATGCATTCTTTTAACTTTGTGCATACTCTTTTTTTTTAAATTAATAATCCTTCTTTGCCTTGTCTGTCATTCCAATAACTCCTTCATGGGGCTGTAAATATAGGATATCAACATAATACATTTGGCAAATTTTGTAAGTTTCCTTTCTGAATACATAGCACGTTACACGTTCAGTGCTCCTTACAAATACTGACTGAACCTGCCAGCATTTGTGGGAAGGTAATTATATAATATTCATATTTCAAACACTTTTGAGGGAGAGGCTGGCAGGGCAGGAAGGGAAACATGAGTTAAGTAACTTGACCAAGCATACATTTGAATCAGTGGCATAAACAGGACTAGGACTCTGGAGTTTGTCTTTCAGTCCCACGGTTAGGTTTCTGCTAGATCTTGCTGCTTTGGTATTTATTTGAAAAGCTGGGGCTAGAGACATTAATTGGTCACATCTAAGCATGAACGAAAAAGTCATAAGCTCTTAAAGCCCAATTTATTTTCTAGTCATGACTCAGATTTTACTACAGGTTGAACCTCTGGTCTAACAACATTCTAGGACCACGGAGGTTGCAGGCTGAGAGCACAGCAGGTCTGGTGGCGGGCAGCGTGTGGGGCTGGTGGCCGCGAGTGAAGCCCAGCCGGCAGCCAAGTCCTGCTGGCCACAGGAGCCAGGCCCAGCAGTGGAGCCCCACAGCTAGCCCGGGAATGGGAAGCCCCAGACTTGGCAGCAGAGCCTAGTAGGCAGGCTAGGTGCAGTGCGCTGGTTGGGCCGAGGAGAACCCGGAGGCCTGACCTTGTCTGTTTCGGCGAACTCTTTTGTTTGGGACTAAAGAGCAGTTTTCCCCAGGGCCCTTTGTTTAGAAGATAAATAATCTAGACTTTTGCTGAAAGGGCCAATATTAATTACTTTTGTTTTAGCCTTTTAAGTTCTCGTTAATAGGGAAACTAACTTTGCTTTTGCTAATATATGTGCAAACACTTGAAAATAATCCTGGCTTCCAAACTGAGAAATTCTACCATGGCATTGAACAACTTAATTAAAAATGATTGTTTGTAGTCTATTAGATACAGGAAATATAGGCCAGAACTTTCCCATTTTGGTGTCTAAAATTGTGCAAAGCACCCACTTCTCGCACTGAAGTCAGTGAAGTTCAGCTTCTCTGAAAATCAGGACACGTTTTGTTTAGGAGCCTGCAAGGTCTGCTCTGAACAGAATCTATTTCCACCCATTGTGTTTGGTTTAAACTTACATCACTTCTTGGGATTTGGCTTCATTGGTTACTCAGGCAACAAAGTTACTGAAACCCTAAGGCTGATTGTTTTCATCAGCCTTGGATGTTGTTACCCACACTAGATATCGGGTACTTCTGAAAATGTTACCTACATTCCATTTTCAAAAGTTATTTAAACATTAGCAGCTTAAGTTCTTGGAAATGGGCTTCAGGCTCCTAAATCACTTAGATGCTGTTGAAAATGCTACCCATAATCCTGCTTTAAAACTAGCTCAAGTAAACTTGGTTTTGCTTGAGGCAGAACTGTGTGGTTAAACAGTTTAGGAACATTGTTCTAACTTAGTACCCTAGACGGGTAATCTAGTTTTATCAACAGTTCAATAAGAGCTAATGGTAGTACAGAAACCATTATTTTATGTTAATAGAATGTAATACAATTGGAGAACGTCCCTTTGGTTTAATCAACCGAGGCAATGCAATTATAGGGGAGGAATGCCTCGGTGTGCCAGTCATGTTTTATTCACAGTGTTCCTGTGAATTATATTTGCTTTGTTTCCTTCCTGTAAATTGGTTCTAAAAGTTACTTGTCTCTCTACCCAGGCGGACACCACTCACCCCCTGACCAAGCACAGGAAAATAGCTTCTTCGTTTCGAGATTCATCCTTATTTGATATCTTCACGCTTTCCTGCAATTTACTGAAACAGGTAGAGATACTGCAGTTCTTGTCAAAATGCTGCATCAAATGTAGGGGTAAACTCCTTCCTGCTGTAACTCCATTGGAACTCGTCATTTCAATATTTGGCAGTTTTTTTTCACTCCTGCCTTTGGGGAAACTATTAGACTAGATTCCTACCTTTCACTTCTTAGCGTGTCTCTACTACAGAAGTCGAGAAGCTGTTCATTCATAGGAAAGGTTATAGGACAGTCTGATTTTCCTGTCAGGAATTCAGGTTCTGATTTAGGTTTTGTGTGTTCACTTTAATATATACCGAAGATAGAAATTTTATGATCTTTTTTTAAATTTTCAAATGAAAACACTTTGGACAGCTTATTTCCCCATTCCGTACAGGAACTGGTATAAAACCCTATTATAGTGATATAATTGGGTCCCCTAAGGGAATTGTAATTAAAGCAGATATGACATTCTAGTGTGGACAAGGCCCTTGTCTTGGTTGTTAGGTCCTGCCAAAATTCCTTTGTGCTGCTGAGTAGCTGCACAAAAGAAAGGTTAATGGCCCTACCACCTTTCCTCAACCAGGTAGTTCCAAGGGAGCCTTGGACTAGTGGTTTCCTAGGGGTAAAGTGAAGAAGGAAAAGATGCACAGGCATGTACAGTTTGGTGAGAGTCCTACAGGCATAAGCCTGAGGCAAGTGCTTCTTGGGATAGGGAATCAGTGCCTTAGCAAGGGTTTTTCTGCCAGGGAGAGTTGCCTTGCACAGTTTGTTACCACCTCTATTCAGGAACATAACACTGCTGTATGAAAAGCAATTACACTGTTTTTAAATCCTGACTCCACATCTGATTTCTGTACCAAACAAGAAAAGGATCTACAGGGTCCCAAGATCCACTCGGTGGCGAAATCCTGTTGGAACATCAACACAACTAGTGTTGTGCCAGTGTGTGAAAATGGGGCAATGACACTGACTAGAAACAGTGGGAAATTCATCAGTTTTACTCATCTAAAGAAGTGGAGTGATCGAGTCTTCAAACTGACTGAAGTATCAAAGTAAACAAATTTCATAAATAGGAAAAAAACAGGTTGTATCTGGAAAAATCTTTCACACTGAACAATTCCTGGTTCTGGTTCTGCTAGTCTTACACGTAAAGAGTTTGGGTTTTAACGAGGTCTGTCTAGCTTGACTTTTTCCCTTTTAATGTTACCACGGGTTCATAACGAAATGTAAAACGTTACCTAGAATTCACTTGTGTGTGCCACGTGCCTGCATGATTTATTTGTGATTTGTCCCTCAAGGGGAAATGAAACTTGGAGGCTTGAATGACATGACTCATTGGGGATACAGCCTCCAGTTTTATATGTCTTTACCTCTCAATCATCCTGCTTTTGTCTTCCACAATGTCCCAATTCTAAGGACAAATTGTGATGATTTCTGTTGTCCCATTTAATGCCCTTATTTTCCTGTGACTAATGCCCATTACCCCAGTTATTCCTTTCTCTGTTTGGCTGCTTGCACAAGCTTCTATGTAAAACACCAGATGTTTCCAAGGTGACCCTCCAGTGACTCTAGTTGTTTTCCTTTGGAGGGGGCAAAGGATTGGGATGCTAAGAGCTAATGATTGTCTACATCACGGTCATAAACTGGGAGACATTCTGGACTGGGGGTGACAGACAGTTTCAGCAATCAGTGAAACTGCATTGAGCCCCATTGCAACTGCTCAGATTGCTTTGTGGCAGAGTTAGGGTAGAAGTAGCTCAATTTCTCTATGAAAAGCATAGAGCAACTGCTGGTTTGTGTCTCGTGCTGCTATACAACAACTATGAGCTGATCTAGCATCACAAACCCACTAAACATCTTGTGTTGCTTCAGAATCCTTCAAAAGCGGCAAGGAGTCCTGTGGCACCTTATAGACTAACCAAAGTGTTGGAGCAGAAGCTTTCATGGGCAAAGACCCACTTTGTCAGATGCAACCTTGTCTAGTCCCTGAGTTTTGAACCTGGAGTAGGGTTGATTTAGATCATTTTTGCAACAAAGGGAATGCGCTTATTTCCCTACCAGAGGGTCTGGTGAAGTAACAGTATCCTCTGCTGCTAAATGCATATCAAGCAGATAGTGCTTCCTTTTCACTCAGTCCTCCTTGTGCAGTAGAAAAGCAGCCATGCTTGCCAGACTGTAATTATTCTGGAAGACTCATCAGATTAGGAACACAGGAAAACACTATCCATCCTCTATCTAAGGTCTAAAAACTCAAGTTCAGATTCCTTGTAAAGCGTGGGGCCCCAGGGATATTTCGGGGGTCGGAGGTGGCCTCACAACCTAGAAAATGAAGGTGGCACATGATACTTACGAATGTTACATCCTGTTCAAATGAAATTATGCTCCCGGTTCAGGCACCACGTTGTTCGTTTTTATCCAATGTGCTCTGCAGGCTTCAGGGAAGAACCTGAACTTGAATGATGAAAGCCAACACGGCCTGCTCATGCAGCTACTCAAGCTCACACACAACTGCCTGAACTTTGATTTCATTGGCACATCAACAGATGAGTCCTCAGATGATCTCTGCACGGTACAGATCCCAACTAGTTGGAGATCAGGTAATGCTCCTGATGGGGGAAGGGAAACAGGCTAATCTTCAAGGTGCCAAATGAGACTCTTGTGGCTGGCCAAGGCTTTGTCTACAATAGATAAATTGATCTTTGTGTCAGAGAACCAAGTGTGCAAACCAATTGTCCCCTAACCCAATTACAGACGTGATTCGTGTTGCTAGTATAGGCTGGTCCAAAACCACACAAATACCGTTCCTTCTGCCCAGTCAATCCTAGGCTCTTGTAGATTTCAGAAATTACAAATTTGTCTTGTGGCAAGCTTGGGGGGAGTGGGGAGGTTTCCATTACACTTCTCATAAAAGAGAAGTAAATAAGCCAGAATGGAGCCCTGTCCGTTCTGAAATCTAAAGCTGCTTTCATACCACTCCCTTTAAAAATGAGATTCCCTGACTAGGCAATTGTGAAGAAAATGTTGTGCTCTTTGGCAGAGCTTCTGCTCTTGTCACTTAAGGACATAGCAGTTGTACTGTCAGACCAGTGGTCTGTCTAGCCTAGTGGACAGTGCCAGAAGGAAAGAAAAAACAGGGCAACTTTGAGTGATTTCTGCCCTTTCATCCAGTCCTAGCTGCTGGTAGTCAGGGGCTTAGGGACACCTGGAGACACTTCTCTTTTTCTAGCTTTGTGTAGCACATCCTTGACATCGTCATATTCCTTAGCAGTCACTCTGCAGTCACAGATTGCTTACAAAGACCATTTTATGCTTGTCTGCACCCTCTTTACGCTAGAAAGAATGATACAGTTAGAGAATTCTAGTGCTGTGCTCTAGAGCTGTCTCTTACAGAAATACACGTATTACGTTAGAGAAATATAGCAGGGCATTTAAAGGAAGCAAAGTACTCCATAGGATGCAATCATGCAGATGTCCATAGTAAGGTGCTCCTTTCTGTCTGTTTCAGCATTCTTGGATTCCTCGACCCTACAGTTGTTTTTTGACCTGTATCATTCCATCCCTCCATCGTTTTCACCGCTGGTGAGTTCAGAGTTCATGGTTCTTATGAAACCTAATACTAGAAAGCATTTACAGCACCGGGAGAGCCATAACTAGGGACATCATTGACATATGGGCCTGAGATACTGGCCTTTTGATGTAAAATGATGTAGGATGCTTCAGAACAGATGCTTATTTTGATAGTATAGTATTATGCCCTAAAGACCAAAAGGGAGGCTGTGCCCAGTTCTTTAGTGCTGGTAGTTTTGGTATCTCCAGTGGTTCGAGTGGATTAAGAAGCAGTCCCCATTGGTTGGAAATATTGTGCTGCCCTTCTCTTGCCAGGCCTGTTAGAGACTATCCAAGTGCTCTCAGCGAATGTACCGTCCTCACTGCCTAGGAGAGAGCCAAGGGATGGCATTGCCATTTTATAGGAGGGAAAGCAACAAGAGTTGAAATGACTTGCCCAAAATCACACGGCAAGTTGGTGCCACATTTGGGAGCAGAACCCAAGAGACTGACCCCTGAGTCCCATTTTCTATCCACTAGACAAGAAAGGGCCAGTAGCATCAACCCAAATAAAGAATTCACGTGACTGGATGTTTTCTGTTAAAATATTATTGCCAACCAGCAACCGGGTGATCTGATCCAATAATTGAGTTGGTGCGTAGAGCTGCTCACTCTGCAGCCAGACTCAATGGCTACGTCTACACTGGCACCCTTTTCTGGAAATGCTTAAAACGGAACAGTTTTCCGTTATAAGTATTTCTGGAAAAAGCGTGTCTACATTGGCAGGATGCTTTTCCGGAAAAGCGTCCGTGGCCAATCTAGACGCGCTTTTCCGCAAAAAAGCCCCAAGTGTCATTTTCGCGATCGGGGCTTTTTTGCGGAAAACACTACTGTGCTGTCTACACTGGCCCTTTTCCATAACAGTTTTCCAGAAAAAGGACTTTTGCCCGAACGGGAGCAGCATAGTATTTCCGGAAAAGCAGCTGATTTCTTACAGTAGATCGTCAGTGCTTTTCCAGAAATTCAAGGGGCCAGTGTAGACAGCTGGCAAGTTATTCCAGAAAAGCGGCTGATTTTCCAGAATAAGTGGCCAGTGTAGACACAGCCAATGTGTATAAAGCATTCAAATCCAAATCCTGACTCAGTCAGCAAGAGTCCCATGGTAAGATGATTCTCCCTTGGAAGTTGTTCTGATCTGTGTGTGAATGTGGCATGGTAGAAAGCAGATTCTGTAAATACCTTTCAGGTGCTGCTCCGGGAGAAGCCCAGCAAATCATTAAATCTTAAAAATTGGTTATTAACAATGTTGGTCATTACAGGCAAAGAGAGGGAGGGGAGCAACTTACATAGTTCTCTGTTGGTAGATAGTTTCCCTTAACAGCACTAAATATTTCAGAATTGGTACAACTGGGCTAGTTGCTTATGTATCTCACAGTATTTAAGTGTCTAAATATTTTTCCTAGTTAATGTAGACATATGCTGCAATGGAAACATTTCTTAACTCTGGCTGGAGAAGGGAGAATCTTCCTTCAAAAATAAATTTCTAGGAGAGGTAGGACAGAGCTGGTCACTTCATTATCTAGTGCTAGCCAAGTTTGAGATTCAAGCCTCTCTGAAATTCGAGAGAGTTTTAAAAAAATCACACTGTTAAGCATCTACTCATCTGGGCTTATCTCAATTTGTGTGGCTTATTTCGAGGTATGTCAATTGCATAGCTTATTTTGAAATTGGGAGCATTTACACAGCACTTATTTGGCAATAGAGCACTCTTCCTCCGACTTCCCATGCTCCTCATACAATGAGAGGTACAGGAGCCAGAGTAAGAAGTCCTCCAGCTTGACAGTATCTTGACTTTATTTTAAAATAACTGCCTGCTGTGTAGACGCAGGCTAAGTTATTTTGAAATAACATTGCTGTGTAGATGTACCCTTACACAAGTAATTGCTCTGAGCTTTGATCATTAAGTGCGAGGTAGCAAGAACCAGAGGAGCGTTAACAGCAGAACAGGTAGTTCTATGACAGGTTGGCAAACCGGGGCTTCTCTTAGTGCGGAGAGTCTATAATTAATTTGCTTGCAGTGTTCATAATCCCATTCAGCAGTGTGGCAATGGATTCACTTGCATAACTCCATCTTTGGAATCTACCTTCGGCTTAAACGTAATAGTGGTTGAGACGGGAGCACTCTAATGTAAACAAATGTGCACCTTGCCATTCTTCCTTCTCTGACCCTGGACCAGGCATGTCAAACTTGAAACCTACTGAGGGCTGCACAAACGAAAGCTGATAGCTTTCAGGGCCACCAAAGAAAATGTACTTCTATTGGAAAGTCGTAATTATTTATTATTATAGATTATGTTTTAAATATATTTTATAATTTTCCAGGTCTTGTTTTAATACAATACAATAATTTGATGTGTAAAATTGTTGTTTGCCCATATAAAATAATTTTTAATTTAAATGTAAATTGAAAGTACTTTTTAATTTTTTTTAGATGATACATAACTTGTTTTGTTGAAATCAAAACAAGTATAGACCGTGGTTAATCAAATAGAACAGGCTTCTGTGAAAATTTCAGATGCTTTGTAAGTTTGAGATTTTGCATAAACATAATATTCGTGCAATTGCAAAAAAATATGTATTTATTGATATAAAATTAATATACATTTTGTGATTTTTATTTGGGAATAAATAAAATGTTAACAAAATTTCCCCCTCCTCTCGCCCAGAGCCAGGCACTCCCATACCCCTGTTCTAACCCAATCCCCCTCCGCTCCCCCAGAGTCAGACCACCCCAACCTAATGCCTTTTCCTTGCCCCAGAGCCAGGCACTCCCAGCTCCCTCCTCCCACCCTCAACTTAATACCTGGGTCCCAGAGTCAACGTTGCTGCCTGAGGCGCTGTGGCAGTGTGAGCACAGTGGCCAGCTGTGACTTGAGCACCTGCTGGAGTGCCCAGCACGGAGCGGCCCGGCCCACCATGAGCAGTCGCTGCAATGCAGCATGTCCCGTCCAGCTGTGAGCAGGCACTTCGCCACGTGCTCCAAGCATCCAGCAGGCCGCACTTCATTCTTTTATAAAAATGTTCTGGCGAGCCAGAAAAAATTTCGGAAGCCACCCCCCACCCACACATTTCTTCCTCAGGCGCTGGGGCAGCGTGAGCACAGCGGCCAGCTGTGAGCAGGCGCTTGATGCCTGTGCAGAGCGGCCGGCCGGCCATGAGCATGTGCTGGAGCGCAGAGCAGCCTGGCCAGCTGGGAGCAGTCACTGTGGTGCCGTGCGCAGAACGGCCAATTGGCCGGCTGCGATCTGCACTCAGCCACGTGCTCCGAGCGGCCAGCGGGCCGCACTTTATTCTTTAATAAAAAGGTAGTGGCGGGCCACACAAAACGTTCATCCATGCGGCCGCCAGAGGCCTGTTTGACATGCCTGCCCTAGACCTATTAAACTCTCTTCTGTGGAGAGGCTGGCAGGGTTTCCTCCCACCACCCGTATTGGTCAAGTCCTCCTTTGTTGTGCACAACGACAGATGACCGTAGTGAGGTGAGAGCACAACCTGCACTTTTGCTTTCACCGTTTGGGGAAATCCTTTATTTCTGTCACCACATGGCCAAGGCGTGGAGACTGTAATATAGTCATGGAGTTTAAGGCTTGAAGGGCCTTCCTAAACTGGTTATTCATTAAGCCATGAAGCTGGAGAGGCGATCCCCATGCTGCTAGTGTCTTACTCCCTGCTGCTTGTTTCCACTGGATTTCTCCTGGTTTTCTCTTTTCATGGGGAGAACATTTAGAGGTGGTTTTTCAGGTTGTAAACCACACTTTGAACTATAGCAGCTGAGTTTGATTGCTAAGGAGTAAAGAGAATACTTAAATGAACTACTACCTCTGGAAAGGGCAAACAACTCAGACCATTCCCTTCAGTTGGAATGAAGCCCTTTCCATTTTGTTCCTTTTGCTTCCTTTTAGGTCTTGTCCTGTTTAGTCCAGATAGCGTCTGTCCGCAGATCCCTTTTTAATAATGCAGAGAGAGCAAAGTTCCTGTCTCATCTCGTTGATGGTGTTAAACGGATACTGGAAAACCCACAGGTGAGCATAGGGCAAGCCAGGTATTTCTTAACAGTATTATTTCTACAATTTATTTACTCTTCTGTCCTGGGCCCTTCATGACGAGGTAAATGTAGAGGAAGGTGACAAAACATCAGAGAAGAACTAAAATGTTTAATGAACTCAATGTGTATAGTTCATTTAAGTGGGAAACTAAAAGGTAAAGGAGAGAATAAACAGTCAGAGGTGAAGGTTTAAAAAGTGTAAACCCCAGAGATGGAAGCGAATTGTTTAGTGTGATATGTATCAAAGTGGAATGAAATATATGGAACAGCTCTGACTCCCATTAAGGCTTGGGAGACTAATGGTGTTGGAGTTTACCCCACTATTGAATAGAGAAGTAAGAGTTTAATTGGACAAAAATGCTGAAAATGTGTTTACAGAAACAATCTTGCACTGAGCAAGAAAGAAAGACTAAGATGATGTCTGTCATCTTTACCTACTGTTCTTCAGTCTTGCACTCCCAATCAAAAGTTCTTAAATATCACTGATTATCTGTGTTGAAAGGAGATTTTCAAGAGTGATACTTGAGCCTAGTTGTTTACACCTTGTGTAGTTTGCCACTGTGAATTATATATGGTCCAGACTAATGTTTTAGGTACGTTCCAAGACCTGCCAATGATAGGGTGCATTTCAGCTGGGTCATCTATACTGTGTGGCTTTGAGGGATCATACTTTACACTTACACAACACAGTCCATGTAAGGATATCCAAGGAAGTAGAGGTGGGCAAGCACTACCCCTTGTTTTAGAAATGGGGATCTGAGGCATGGAATGATGAAATAATTTGCCAAATCATGAAGCAAATCAGTAGGGCCTGGTCCACACTAGGACCTTAATCTAAAATAACCCCTCTGCCCCCCCCCCATTCGAATTTGTAAGTGGTGCGTCCACACTACCAAACCCATTATTCCAAAATGAGGGGCTGCGGAATTTGAACTCTGTTCTCCTGCTTTTCATGAAGAATAACACTAATTTAGAACTCGTAAGTCCGAAATAACACTCCGGTGCTACTAATACAAACTAATTGGCCTCCAGGAGGCCTCCTGCAGCTCCCCAGAGTGCTTTGTGGGGCTCTGAGTTCGAAGTAGGTTCTGTTAAGGTAGACGCGATGCCTCAGACTCATTTCGATGCTTCCCTGTGGTGAGGATGTGCAAGTTCGAATTTGTTAAATCAGGAGACCAGAAGTCACATTTAGTAAATTTGAAATAATTTCCTAGTGTAGACATGGCCTGGCAGAGTTGGGAATAAAACCCAGGTCTCCTAACTCCCATCTCTGTGTGCTGATAGACCACTAGACAGTGCTACCTGGCTTACTATTTGACATACTGTTGGTTCTCTTCCTCCCCAGAGTCTGTCAGACCCGAACAATTACCATGAGTTCTGCAGATTGCTGGCACGATTGAAAAGCAACTATCAACTGGGAGAGCTGGTGAAGGTGGAAAACTACCCTGAGGTCATCCGACTCATTGCCAACTTCACCGTGACCAGTCTGCAGGTGGGAATTCCTGACATTTGGCCTTATTGGAACCTCTCACAATGGAGGAGTCCCCCTTCTTTGCAGGAGCTATGCCCATTTGTCAGGCCCAGTAGCAACGAGGCTGCGGCATCCACTCAGGCTTTGTAATGGCAGAGTCAGTATTGATCATACTATGAACCTTGGCTGCAAAGTACTTGAGGGGAGGGTTGTAATTACAGCCCTGGAGTTTTTCCTTGTTCCGTCAGTAGCAGTGGCTGATTCATGGCTCTTTTAGCGTAGTGCATCAACCCTTCATTAAAATGTAGTGTAGAGGGTGATTCAATCAGTATCGTGCAGTCCTTTCCGCTGTTGTGCAGCATACAACTACATCTCTGTACACAATAAAATGACATTTTAAAAATTCTTCCATGGAAACTACTGCACACTGGCAGCTTTGATTTGTAGACCATTGGAGTGTATGTAGCTTTTAGCAATATGCAATGTTGTTGAGATGGCTTGTAAATGAAGGGGTTTAGTGGAGGCAAATAGGAGCAGTTGAATTTTACAGCTTGAGTGAGGATTGGGTGTGTTTGATAGTTCCAAGAGAACTGAATAAAACAGTTTAAGATATTAAAAAGCAGGCAAGCTGTGTATGCCTGGCCCCAGGTGAGGGACTAAATTGCATTATGGGTGCTTCATCAAACCAGAAGTGTGTTGCAATATTGCCGTTTGTAATGTAAATGTCAGTAATTCTGCATGTTGCTGTGCCGCTGTGTCACTTCCCTTCAGGACAGATGGAGGGTCTCGTGTTCTCATGCAGGAGCCCAGCAGCAGGGTTGGACCAGGCTGCCCAAATGGTTTAAAAAAAGAAACCCCGTTTTACGCCAGGTCTCCAGCATTGAAAGTCTAGTGCGGCAGAGTTTGACAGCCCTTCTCTTGGGACTTCCCCTGAGCTGTGGCATGTGAAGAGCACTGAAGGGACAGCTCTAGAGAGCCCGTGCATAGCAAGCCCTAAGAGAGATGGAGCTCAGCAGGGGCTGACTTTTGCTCTGCCTGTGTTGTCACAGTACTAGGGCATGGTTTCCTCGCTGCACTACCATGCTCAGAAGAATGAGGAGAGAAAGAAGCAAGGCTGTTCGGGTTGAGGGAGGGCCAACCCTACAAGCAGGTATTTTCAGACCTGCACTGGGGCCTGAAGGCTTCAGCTCAGCTCCATCTCATGCAAGCTTATTTTGGCCTATCCCTGGCTCCTTTGCTGAACAATTTTCTTCCTTTAGGCACTCTTGGAATTCAGGGGCTGATTTAAATTCAGCGCTGCCGAGGAAAACGGAGCATTAAAGCATCCTGGATAAGCCCCTGACAATCTAAGATGCTCTCCTACTGGCAGACGGTTCAAGACAAACGTAACATTCTGCAAGATCCTAAACTCACTGGCTTCCTTTGCTTTCTCTGTCTTGGTACCTGCAGCACTGGGAGTTTGCACCAAACAGCGTACATTATCTCCTAAGCCTGTGGCAGCGGCTGGCAGCATCTGTGCCATATGTTAAAGCCACAGAGCCGCATATGCTAGAAACATACACTCCAGAAGTCACGAAAGCATACATCACTTCCAGGCTGGAGTCTGTGCACATCATACTGAGGTAAGGGAAGCCTGAAAAGGCACAAGCATTTCTACTTCAGTGCCTACAGCACATAAGGGAAAATCTTGCAAGGGTCTTTGGTCGGGATGTCAAATCCTATTTAATTGATTAAGCAATTAAATGTAGCGTTTAACCGGCTCACTGATTAAGGGGAGGCAGGCAGGGGGCTGCTCCAGCCTGGCTGGGCTAAAACGCCCCTGTCCACAGCTGGCCCTGTGGGGCTGGAGCAACCCCCTGCCCACAGCATGGCGAGGAGCTGCTCCAGTCCCCACTGGTTAACTGGAACCAGTAACCTTTCACATCCCTAGTTTTTGGAATTAGATGCGTAGTATTGAGTCCAGTCTTAGGATGTTTTGCTTTGTCAGTGAAATGTCTCAGGAGGGATGTGTCATCCTTTTATATTTGCAGTGTATTTTAATTAGAGTTAATTTATTGGATGGAAGAAAACCAAAATATGAAAGATGGGAAACACTAAAGCACGACGACAACCAGATGCCATAATACTTGGTATTTCTTAAACACGTAAAGTGCTTTGTTTAAAACCCTGGGCAAATATTGTCATAAACCTGTGATGGCCCTTTCAGCTCTATTAGTCCTGTGCCCATAAAACAAGAGGACACTAGTGATGAACACTCGGTTGTATTCCATCAGTCTGTGCAGTGCTCCATCATGAGAGCTACCAGAGGCAAAGATTCAGATGATCAGGTTTTAAAATAGCCGTGTGCCTAGGAGAAGTGTCTTCCATGGGGGAAATAAGCTTGTTGAGGGTCAGGCTAGCACGGATACTAAGCTTCATTTATAATGCTGTTTTCTGCCCACGCAGAGATGGTTTGGAAGATCCACTAGACGACACCGGCCTTGTGCAACAGCAGTTAGATCAGCTGTCCACCATTGGCCGGTGTGAGTACGAAAAGACCTGTGCTCTCCTGGTGCAGCTCTTTGACCAGTCAGCCCAGACTTACCAGGAGCTGCTACAGAGCGCCACTGCCAGCCCCATGGACATCGCCGTGCAGGAAGGTGAGTGCAGTCCAAGAGCAGTGGCCAGGGAGCCCTGGTCAATTTGCCCCTTTCAAAAAACTACAGTTCCAGAAACCTGCTTCCCCCATCGAATCCTGTCCAGAGAGACCCACTCCTACAGTTATTCTCTTGTGAAAATGAGCAAGGGGCTTGGACATATTCAGCCTGTTTTATAGGGGTGTTATGGTTTCAGTTAGAGGGCCAGGTTTTTACTTTAACTCCTTTTCCCTGATGGACCTCTGATGTTGCTGGACCAGAGAGTCCTGGACCACGGAGGTTCAACCTGTGAAACTTCAGATGGTGAGGACTTGAGTGTGTCTGTCATACCAGCCTTGTGTGCTTTCAGAGGATGAGTACTCCTCTTTGCACATATGCAATGTTTCCAGAAGCCTACAGAACATGGTCTTGTATTAAAGGAATGTCATGGGGTGAGGGTGATCTTATGAGGACAGCACACTGCAGCTAGAAACGATGCTCTGAAGCAAATAGGTACAATTTCCAGGATCAGAACTGTGGCCTATCTTCCACTAAATGGAGAATCAAGTAATACAGGTTGAACCTCTCTAGTCCTGCACCTTTCGCACCTGACTAAGGATGTTAAATAGAGGGTAATTGACTAATCGAATAGTCGATACATTTTTGTATTGACTATTCGATTAGTCAATAGAGTGCCTCTGCCTTTCAAGTGTAGTGCTCCCAGCATCCGGCTCCTCGCAGCATTTCAAAGCAGCATCCCTGTGCGGCGCCTGGGGTCAGCTAGGGACTCAGCTGATTCCGGGCTCCACGAGGTGCTGCTGCTTTGAAATGCTTCGAGGAGCCTGACACCGGGCTCCCCGTGGCATTCAAAGTGGCAGCGCCGCAAGGAGCAGCTGACCCAGGACTCCATGTGGCGCTGCTGCTTTGACATACCCTCCTGTTCTTCCCCCACCCTTGCTGCCTCTATTTAATAGAGGAAGCAAGGGAGGGGAAGTGACTAGAAGACTGTCCATTTGCTTATCGGATAGTCGACTAGTTCTTCACCTCCCAACACCTGACCAGTGCCGAGCCAAAGAATTTTCTGAACCACGGAAAATGGATGTTGTCTAGCAACATCACCAACACTTCTACTACTTACTGGGCTCTTAGAAGACATTTCGGGGTAAATTAGAGCTAAATAACAGCACAGAACACTGAGAGCAGGCCTGGTGGCTGTAGACAAACTTTATGGGACTACAGGAAACTCGGCCACACCCATGATAAGTGGACACCCAGCTAACTAAAATCATGCCAGACCATGGATGTTGCCAAACCAGAGAGTGCTGGACTAGAGAGGTTCAGCTGGTACTGACGTAACTGTAGCTTCTTGATCGGTAGAATAAAATAAGCTCTTTTAAGCTTTCTTCATGAGCCTTGGCTTTGCTGGAGAAAAACCCAAAGAATCCCTTTCTCTCACTACCATGTTGCCTGTCAAGTGTTTGTTTCTGATGTCATCTGTTGGCTTCAGGGCGTCTGACGTGGCTTGTCTATATCATCGGGTCAGTGATCGGTGGCAGGGTTTCGTTCGCCAGCACAGATGAGCAGGATGCCATGGATGGCGAGCTGGTTTGTCGGTAGGCATGCTGGATGCTTTCTAGCTACACTAAGCACTGTCCCGTTCTTGTGGCTGCGGGGTAGTAATTCTCTAGAGGGTGTTCTCCCATCCCTCTTTTCTTACTCTCACTATAAATAACTGGATGGAATCGGCCCTCGTGCACAAAGACATTGATAGCACCGGCTAGACTCACTGAGCAAATGTCTGTTGGGATCTGTTTAAACCTGAATGTCTCTATCTGTTTGGCAAGGGATCTAAATAATCAAAGGGGAGAGTATGTGAGAGTGGAATTTTTCCTACTTGTTTAAACATCCGCTGCAGAGTAGAACCCGGTGTGTCTTGGTTCTTTTTGGGGATGAGAGGTTTTTTTATACGAACCAAAATGGCTTTGATAGTACATATCTTGTGAATACCCCAGTTTCCTACAGCAGATGGAATTCTTACACAGGGAGGCACTTGTACATTTTTTGTAGCCAGAACTGTAATCATAATTGCTGATTTGTGTGGTATGGGTAATTAATATGCAGTGCATGGCTCTTAAACAATCCTAAGATAAGCAAAATGCCATGTAGAACATAAGCCTAATACTGCTTCTCTGGGATCAAGCAGGAGGAAGAGGACTTAATTAATCTGAGACTTTATCAAAGTTGGTCATGTAAACTAGGGATGTTAAATTTCGATTAATCAGCTAATCAAATAGTCGATAAGGGGTGAGGTGGGGGACTTGCCATCCTTGCTGCACCTCTGCCTTTTAAATGTAGCAAGTGCCGCCCACAGCTCTTACTGCATTTAAAAAGGCAGAAGAGTAGTGGGGAACCCGGGGCAAGTAGGGACTCAAGCAGTCCCTGCTCGCCCCGGTTCCGACTGCTGCTACACGTCAAACGCAGAAGCATGGCAGTTGGAACGGGAGCAAGCAGGAACCGCTTGGGTCCCCGCTCGCCCCAGGTTCCCCACTGTGCCTCTACCTCCCCTGCCCCCCTGGGGAGATGATTCTAGGGGGAACCAATTTTTAAGCCAGCTCTCCCTCCCGCCCCCCC